CATACTTCCTGGGAGAATAACTGATAAAAGGAATATACTATTAAATGCAGGTTCTCATCTCCTTCGCTTTTGATGAGCATAAGTGAACTTTGTAAAGGTATTTGCAGTTCATCTGTTGCAGGGGATAGGAGTGGTAAATAACTGCAAAGAACTTGGAGCCTTCCAAGTAAATAGGCTTTAGTGCTCTGACTTTAACCCAAAGGTTGGTACAGTTTTGGTGAAATTATGAATTGGCATAGCCATTCTAGAAAGTATTTTGGAACTATGCCTCAAAACACTAAGCCTTTTGACCCAGAAATACCTCTACTAGACCTGTACCCTAGAGATAAAAGAGCAAAAGGACCCATAAATTTAAAAATGTAGCAGCTCTTTTTATAGTGTCAGCTGAAAACCAAGGTAATGCCTATAAATTGGAATGGCTAAACAAATTATGCCATATGAGTGTAATATAATACTATTGTGCCATAAGAGAATGAAAGGTAGATTGAGAAAAATCTGGTTAAGATGTGTATGAACTGAGGTAGAAGTAAGTGATAGAACCAGAAGAACAAGTTATAACAACATTGTAAAGATAACTTAAGCATTTTAAATCAACACAATGACCAACCATGATTCCATAAGACTGATGATGAATCTGCTGTCCATCTGATAGGAGGGAAAGATTCAGGATGAATCATGAGATGTGAAATTTTGGAGCGTGGCCAGCGTGAGGATTTGTTTGATAATGCACATTTACTACATGGTTTTTTGCTTTTTTTTTTTTTATTACATTACATGTATTTTTACTACATGGGTAAGTTGGGATAGAAAATGAATATTAGTTGAGAAAATGTAAAGAATGATAGTGAAACACCGTATTGGAAGATATGGTTCAGGAGCAAGAAATGAAAGCAGCCAAATGCTTAAAGAATACTCAGAAACTTCATATGGCATACTTTATTCAAGAAGTTATAATATACATGGCAAACACTGAATATTCCAGTGAATCTGTGATCTCATTGATGTGGATATTTCTCCTGAGGTTGATCACAATCTGTCTGTGCTTGCTTATCTTGTTTGACTATCTTTCCATGAACTCACTAGAAGGGGTCTGCCTTACTTGCTAGACATTTTGTGATCTCTTGGAATACTAGTGCAGCATTTACTGTGTGTGTGGTCCCTTCTCTTATACCTGGGTGTGTGACCCTGTACAAGTCACTTAGCCTCTCAAGAATCCCAAGCAACTCTTAAGTTGCAAGAAAAGGTAGCAGTCAGCATTAATAATGTAACAAAAGGTCCTAATTAAATACTTGTATGTTCCTGTTGTAAAAACTATGTCTTTACACATCCCTACCCCAGGGCCCAAGCTTAGCTCAAATAAACTGACCAGTCTGGGGAGAACTTGATCTCCCCTCTAAACCCCTCCCCCTCCCCACCCCACCCCACCCTCAAAGGGACATTCAGGCTTTTCTTGAACTATGGCTTATATCCCTACTTCATAATAGATCTCCAGGAAAAATCTTTTAAAGTTAAGGATAAAGTATGGTGTGTATCTAGGGTCCATCCCTGAAAGGATTAAGACCCTTTCAAAAAAGTTACTTAAATGTATATAGTAGATAGTAGGTTTAAGATAGCTGCTTACTTCACCAAAAAAGGAAAAAAAGAAAAGCTTAATATATAAAAAGTTCATAAGTACTCACAAACATATGCTTAAAATAAGAAATAAAACAAAAGGCTCATAAAAGCCCATCATCTCTATAATACTTTCCTGAGAGGTAAAGAAGCCAGGGAAACATATAACTGGCACAGATTTCACTTTCACTTCAGTCCACACCATCTGAGCAACAAGTTAGTCATTGTCTTCTGGTCAGCCAAGTATGCATAGCGGTGGCCATTTTCTCGAGATTGTACAGAAATCTGGATCTCAATTATTCCAGATATCTTTCATGATTGCTGTTAAGTTACCTATGCTCAGAGAAAGAGGCAGCTAGAAACAAGATCTATTGAGGGTTATTCAGAGAAACACATGCACTTACTGCTATGTGTATACGGCTGTCAAAGCTGCCTGGGGAAGGAGGATGGGGAATACCCTTTTCACTAAAGGAGAGTTCCAACGTAGTTGAAGAGAGGAAGTCACTTTTCTTTCTAAATTTGAATGGGTGTCTCCTCCTGACTCTAGTCAGTTTTCTTTGGCACAGCTCCCACTCCACTGTCACAGAGGTAGTCAGATCTACTCCTGCATATAGTTCGGCAACAGGCCAGATCACATGTCATCAAAAGTGGCCATAGTGCACACTCAGTGCCCTGTCTCCCATCATGGGAACTAAGTAACCAGTCAGGAATCTCGGGTCATGCATTCCTTTCAGCAACAGTCTGAAAGTATGTGTCACCAGAAGTGGCCCATTTCCTCAGCCCCATCACCTTTCATACACCTTTTCTACATAAAAGCCTTTTAGATACTTCTGAAGGATGCTATCGTGTTGCCCCAAGCTTCTTTTGCATAGGCTAAACATCCCATTTTTTAAGGTGATCTTTATATGACATGATTTGGAAGCCCTTCGCTATTATGTTTGCCTTCCTCTAGATGCTCTCTAGCTTGTCAATGCCCTTCCTAAAACATGGAACACAAAATTGAACATAGTTTGGCTTTAAAGAAAGTTAGTCAGACTTTACTGGAAATTATTAACTTACTACCCTGCTACCACTCACCCCATCATAGATGCCACCTATGTGTTGACAAAACACAACATAGCCTTCAACATAACTGTAAAGCAAACTTGCTAATAACATTTAAAATGAAGTTATCCTGAGAAACAAAACAAAACCTATAAACCAAACAAAATCCACTTCTACTCGTTTTCCTCTCTGATCCTTTGGCCTCCCAGGTCTCGCCAAACTCTTTTTGGACCCTATAGGAAATAGTATAAGCTAGATCACTATACTTAACTTGATGTTATGTACAAATGTACAACATAAAAAAGGATTTTAGTTTCCTCATAAACAAATGTGCAGAAGCAATCAACATTGATAAGTGCTTTATTTCTTCTTTTATTTTTCTCACCTAACCATGGTCTCAGCCCTTTTTACTGCTTTTGTATTTTGTTGAAATCCTGTTTAATTAATTTGTTTCATTAGTAGAACCCCCAACAGGTACTGAAAAGTTTTGTTAGCTAATGATTTGGCATATGAAAAACTACCATGTCATCTTTAGATCTTTAGAAATCCTAAGGCTGTTAAATTGATACGCCCCGCTTTCAACAGTAGAATACTTTTGCCCAGTTTTGAATTAAGGTTCTTTCCAGGTCTAAATCCCATGATCCCAATTCTATGTGTCCTAAAGGACATAGGTATCCCAATCTTGGACTGCAAGTCTATCTAGTCTTTTCCAGTGCTTGGAAGGCTAGACTTCTACCAGGATGTGGTGCACTGCTACATATATTGGTGGAATATGGAGCAGCAATATGTGCTCATCAACCCTGATCCTGGGTAACTCCATCATGGCTAATTCCTATTGGGGCAATATTTCACTGTGCTGCAGGGAATGAAACATCCCAAGTTTTTCAATGAACTGTATACTGTTTGTTAATAGGCATTAAAAATTAAAAATAATTTTAGAAGACTTTACTAAAAGGGTTCTACCATTATGGAAAAACTTGAGAACCACTGCTGTAGGGGATATTGGGTCCCAAAGGAAGGCTTAGGGAGGAATAACAGGGAAGAAGGGGAAAGTCTGTTAGGAAATTAAGAGTCCACAAAACTACTTCTTTTATGTAACTTCTTTTATTGTATTCTTTTTTAAAATTAACAAGCATTTATTCTCTCCTACCCGCCATTTCCTTTCTTTGGGGCTGGTGGGGGGGGAGGGGAAAGTGGGATATGCATAGTCAAGCAAACCAAGTTCCCACATTGTGCATGTCTACAAATATATGTTTCATTCTGCATTTTGAGCCATCACCACTTCCTGGAATAGCGAGCTTTAGTACCATTTCTTGGGAATCATGCTTGGTCATTGCATTGATTAGAGTCTTTCAAAGTTGTCTTTACAAAGCTGTTATTATGTAAATTGTTCTCTTGGTTCTTCTCACTTCACTCTGCATCAGTTCAGAAAAGTCTTCCCAGGTTTCCCCAAAATATGTTCCTTTCATCATCTCTTATGCTAAGTATAATATTCATGTACTATAATTTGTTCAGCCATTCTCCAATTGATGGATACCCCCTTAGTTTCCAGTTCTTTGCCACGTCATAGGTTTCCATTCTCTAACTGAGGTGATTTAACAGTAAAACTGTCAAGGCAATGATTATTGTAACATAATGTAGCAGAAAAAACAATGGATAGAAAATCAAAATCTAGGTTCACATTCTTAGTCTGCAAATAAGTCCCTGTATGACATTGGGTAAATCAATTGACTTCTCTTTATTTCCTTACCTACAAAAGGAGGGGGATGGACCGTGTTCAACTCACAAAGCATGTACCTAGAAATTCTTAGTGGCCTGGAATTCTTTGAGGAAGTAGTTCCACAACATACAGGCCATGAAACCAGGGAATAATTCTAACAACTCTGAGTGATATAGCATAAGGGAACCATAGATACATGTGAGATGGGTTTCCACATGCATTTATATTAGAAAACATTTAATTACTTTTATGGCCCTCTGACTTTTCTCCAAAGTGATTAAAACATTTCAGAGGGTTTCTAGCAAGCAGGAAAAAAGTTGAAAATCATGGTGGGACAGAATCCTCCATACCTGAACTATGCTTTTCAAATTGCACTTTTAGAAAAAGGATTAGGATTCCATACAAAGAAAGATAATGTTAACAAGCCTCTCCTAAGCCATATAGGAAACTGATCTTGGCTCCTCAAGCTAAACTCTCATCATGCCCTCAGGCCCAGTCCCTTCTCTTCTCTGCGTATCAGTTTCTCATCTACTCGATGGGAAGAGTAAACCCACCTTGTTAATAACTTGGGGTAAACGAGATAATCTACTGAATGTAAGGGCCCTACTGATGCTAGTAAGGTGTAGGTCATGAGTTCAGTACTCACAAGGTTCACACACATCCCATCTAGCCCTCTCCAAAATGGATGCTGCTGACCTGGCTAGGTGCATGAATGGCTGATGATCTAGAGGAGGCTCATTTGGCGAGAATAAAGGTCATGTCTCTATTCTAGGGGTTTCTCTGGAAACTCTCTAAAATGAGTCCTCTGATGTTTCAGGAGATATGAGTGGTGCCCAAAACTCTTCCCACACTTGCTACAGCTGAAGGGTTTCTGCCCTGTGTGAGTGGTCTGGTGGATGATGAGGCCAGACCTCTGGTTGAAGCTCTTGCCACAGTCACTGCATTGGTAAGGCTTCTCACCAGTGTGTGTCCTCTCGTGTATAACAAGGTCTGACCTACGCACATAGCTCTTTGCACAAGCTGTGCACTTGAAGGGCTTTTCCTCCCAATGAGATTTCTGGTGTGTACGGAAGTTGGAACTGTCACTGAAACTCTTGCCACACTCCACACACACATAGGGCTTTTCACCTGTGTGGATGCGCTGGTGACGGATGAAGGCTGAGCTGTCATTAAAGCTCTTGCCACATGTACTACACTTGTAGGGACTGGCACCAGTATGGATGCCCTGGTGTCTGGCCAAACCTGAGCTATCACGGAACCCTTTGCCACACTCAGGGCACTTGTAGGGCTTCTCTCCAAGGTGTGTCCGCTGATGCAACTCCAAATGAGAGCTTCGGCCAAAGCATTTTCCACACTCCTTACATTTATAGGGCCTTTCACCTGTGTGGATCCGCTGATGGCGGATGAGGGCAGAACCATCACTGAAGCACCGACCACAATCTCCACACTTGTAAGGCTTTTCACCAGTGTGGGTTCTCCGATGGAGACTGAGATGAGTGCTTCGGCCAAAGCATTTTCCACAGTCCAGGCACTTAAAGGGTTTTTCCTCTGTGTCAGGTCTCTCATGGCCAATTAATTTTCCTTGGCCCTTTGTTGGAGTGTTGGATTTACCCATTTTTCCTTCCATTGGTGGGGTCTTCAATTGTTCTTCCAATTTAGGCTCCTTGGTTTCACCATCAGCCCTACCCCAGTCACCAAACAGATGCTGGGCCCTGCCAGTGTCAGATTCTGCCAACAACTCACTGGAAGATTCCTTCATTTCTGGAGCCTCTTGCTTCAAGATACTTTCTGTGCTGTCTCTTTGCTGAAGCCCTAAACCTGGAGAAGTGGGGAAAGAAATCAAAAATAACCAAGGGAATTGTACTCATTTTAACTTTCTATATATGATCAGTTACTTTGATTACTTGCTTCAGCAATTTTCAAGATATGGTCTAAAATCCCCTATATGCTTCTCAGCAATTTCCTTACAACGAAGCTGATTTATGTTCAGGGAATACAAATACAGTCTGAGACATTCCTGAGACATCAAGAAGATAAAACAGCTATCAAAGTAACCACACACTGCATTACCAATTCATAACAGCGCATCCCAAAAGCTTTATTGTCTTGCCTAAGAGTTAAGTAGGTGGCATATGTGTGAGGCTAGATTCAAATCTAGCTCTTCCTAACTGCTTTCATTGCTCTAACCACTGCACCACTCGTATTGTTATTCATATGTCTTTTTGTATATATTTTCCTCATTAGTTCCTGAAGAGCAGGGACTATAAAGTTATATCTGCCACTTAGAAATGCCTGGCACATATGTAATAAATACTTGAGTGAATTGGCATGACCAAAGGAGAGCTAATTAGGGAAGACTTCTTGGAGGGAAATTATGAGTCCATGATTGGAAGGGAGAGTCAAGGATTGATCAGAGTTGCTGCTGAGGTTATTATGATCCTATTCATTTTCACTTTCATTTCCCTTTGTGACATGTGCTTAAATCTAGATCTGCACTAAAGCAAGACAATACTCCAGGCCCAGAAGTATTGGTAACGGGCCTCAACAATGGAGAGTAATATGAGAAGGGTAAGAGAGTAATACTTTGGGCTCCTGTGGTGAACATTGTTCAATCACTGCCATCCCTCCAACTGGGACCATCTTTCCACCAGGGTCGAAGGAGGTCTAAGCCAGCTGCCTCCTCTCTCTACAATTAAATATTACTCCAGCACCATGGATTCCTCCCACCCAAGCTGAGTCTAGGAATGAGACATAGGAAGGGGTACAGTGCAGTTTCTAAACTCTAAATAGGGAATGTGAAGTTACCCTGCCACCAAGTGGTAGATTTGAATGGACCCAGGTCTTTCCCTTCTCAGTTATACCAGTAGTAGATTAGAGGCTAAAGGTTGGGGACAGAGTCAGATGTACCCTAATACCTGAATGCCCATAGTTTGAATGGGAGTGGGGTATTTTATAGTAACCTAGGTGAACTGCCATAAACTCCCACCCCTCCTAACTATATTGGGATTGAAACCACTAAGTTATGTGCCTACTTAAGCTGTGTTCCTTTTGGCAAGTAAACTCCCTCCCTTACTACAACTAATTTTGAGTCTAGACTGATCACCTTATCCTTTGGCCAACATGGGGACCATGCCTCACCTACCATCAGTATGAAAATGGAAGGTTTAAACTGCAAACTATTATCAACCATATGAAAGAATGCTCCAATTCACTAAATTTAAAAAAAATACTTTTTTTTAAAAAATTGACATTTAACCAAACAAATTGGGAAAGATGACAAAAGATGGATTTGGGAAAGAAGGATACCCTAATTTAATGATGGTGGAGCTATGAATTGGTTAACCAGTATGGAAAGCAATTATGCTAAGAAACTGACTAAAATATCTATACCCTTTAATCTAGAGATTCTACTGCTAGGCATATGCTCCCAAGGAGTTCAATGATAAAAAGAAATGCCTCATATACACCAAAATATTTATAGCTGTACTTTTTATGGTAGCAAAGAACAAGAAACAAAGTATGTGGCTATCAATTGGGAAATGCAGAAAAACCCCACCTGGCCTCAGCATACACCAGACACCCCCACTAGGATCGCAGCTCAGCACCAGGTAAGCTGCCAGATACCTACAGCCTCCAGCTGCTGACATCTAAGTCCCCAGCACACAAAGCCAGTGACCATGCCCCTGGACTCCAACACAGGAAGTTTGTGATAGTGCCCCCTGTGCTCCAGCAGGAGAGCACAACTTTAAAAGCCAGGAAATAGGCAAACATCATGAGCAAAAAGGAGAAAAGAACATTTACCATAGAGAATTATTATGGTGACAGGGAAGATCAAAACATAAACTGATAAGAGGAAAATACTGTCAATATACCTACATCTGAAACCTCAAAGGGATGTATGAATTTGTCCCAAGCCTGAAAAGCCTTCTTGGAAGAGCTCAAGAAGGATTTAAAAGGTCAAATAATAAGAAGAGAAAAATTGGGGAAAGAAATGAGAAGTATGCAAGAGAGTCAATAGCTTGGAAAAGGAAGGACAAAAATTGATTGAAGAAAATAACTCCTTAAAAAATACAATTTGGCCAAGTGGAAAAGGAGGTACAAAAATGCACTGAAGAGAAGACCTCCTTAGAAAGCAGAATTGGCCAAATTGAAAGGGAGGTAGAAAAGCTAACTGAAGAAAACAATTCACTAAAAATTAGAATTGGACAAGTGGAAGCTAATGACTCTATGAGACAACAAGAATCAGTCAAATAAAATCAAAAGAATGAAAAAATAGAAGAAAATGCAAAATACCTCATTGGAAAAACAACTGATCTGGAAAACAGATCTAGGAGATCTAATTTAAGAATAATTGGTCTACCTGAAAGCCACAATCAAAAAAAAAATCCTAGACAGCATCTTTCAAGAAATTATCAGGGAAAACTGCCCTAAGGTCCCAGACTCAAGAGAGTAAAACAGCCATTGAAAGAATCCCACTGATGGCTTCCTGAAAGAGATCCCAAAATAAAATAAAAACCCCAAGGACCCAAAACCCCAGTAGCCAAATTCCAGAATTATCAGGTCAAGGAGAAAACACTACAAGAACCAGAAAAAAAATACTTTAAATATAATGGAACCACAGTCAGAATTATATAGGACCTAGCAGCTTCTACATTAAAAGACTGTAGGGGTGGAATATAATATTCCGGAAGTCAAAGCTTGGAATATGATATTCCGGAAGTCAAAGGAGCTTGGAGTACAACCAAAGATCAACTATCCAGCAAAACTAAGCATAATCTTTCAGGGGAAGAGATGGACATTCAGTGAAATAGGGGACTTCTAAACTTTCCTGATGAAAAGACCCAAGTTCAACAGAAAATTTGATCTTCAAATACAAGACTCAAGAGAGGCATAAAAAGGTTAACAAGAAAAATGTTATTCAATAAGGGTTAACTGTTTACATCCCTATGTGGGAAAATGACACTTGTAACTCTTGAGAACTGTATCATTATTACAACATTAAGGAGAGGTATACATAGAAAGAGTGTGTGGGCATAAGTTGACTTTGATGTGATAATTTAAAAAAATAAATAAGGGGTGAAAAAAAGGATTGTACTGGGAGAAGAGGACAAGGAGACAGAAAAGGGTAAATTATCTCACATGAAATGGCACAAAAACCTATTGCAGTAGAGGGAAAGAAGGGAGGGAGGCGAGCATTGTTTGAAACTTACTTTCATCAGATTTAGCTTAAAGAGGGAATAACATATACGCTTGGGTTTAGAAATCTATCTTACCCTACAGGAAGTAGAAGTAGTAAGGGGAAAAAAAAGGGAGGGGGGTGGATACAAGAGAGGGCAGAAGGCAAGAAAGAAGTAGTAGAGAAAAGGGGAAAGAAAGAGGAGGGGGGCTGATAGAAGGGAAGGCTTAAGTGAGGCGGTAGTCAGAAGCAAAACACTGGTGAGGAGTGAAAGGAAGGAGAGAAAAAGCATAAACTGGGGGAAAATAAGGTGGAAAGACACAGTTAAAAATCATAACTGTGAATTTGAATGGGATGAACTCTCCCACAAAACAGAAGCAGGTCACAGAGTGGATTAGAAACAATAATCCTACAATATATTGTTTACAAGAAACATGCTGATACCTAAACTGGGAAGAGCCAAAACAGAGAAATAAAATTATAGCCCAATCTCCCTAATGAATATAAATGTGAAAATTTTAAATAAAATATTAGGAAAGAGATTACAGCAACTTATCCTGAGGATTACACACCATGACCAGGTGGGATTTATACTAGGAATGCAGGGCTGCTTCAATATTAGGAAAACTATCAGCATAACTGACTATATCAATAACAAAATTAACAGAAATCACATGATTATCTCAATAGATGCACAAAAAGCTTTTGACAAAATGCAACACCCATTCCTATTAAAAACATTAGAAAGCATAGGAATAAATGCAATTTTCCTTAACATGATAAGTAGTATCTATCTAAAACCATCAGCAGCATTATATGTAATGGGGATAAACTGCAAGCACTCCAATAAGATCAGGGGTGAAATAAGGATTCCATTATCGCTACTCTTATTCAATACTGTACTAGAAATGGTAGGTTTAGCAATAAGAAAAAGAAATTGAAGGAATTAGAACAGGAAAAGAAGAAACAAAGCTATCACTCTTTGCAGAGGATATGATGATATGATGGTAGAGAATCAACTAACAAAACCACTTGAAATAATTAACAACTTTAGTAAAGTTGCAGGATATAAAACAAACCCACATAAATCATCAGCATTTCTATATATTACTGACAAACCCAACAGCAAGTGATAGAAAGAGAAATTCCATTTAAAGTAATTGCAGACAACACAAAATATTTGGAAGTCTACCTACCAAGACATACCCAGGAACTATATGAACATAATTACAATACACTTTTCACACAAATAAAGCCAGATCTAAATAATTGGAAAAACATCAGTTGCTCATGGGTAGGCTGAGCTAATATAATAAAAATGACAATTCTACCTAAATTAATTTATTTATTTAATGTCATGCCAATCAAACAACCAAAAATTATTTTATAGAACTAGAAAAAATAGTAACATAATTAATCTGGAAGAACAAAAGGTCCAGGATGTCAAGGGAATTAATGAAAAGAAATGCAAGGGAAGGTGGCCTAGCTGTACCAGATCTAAAATTGTATTACAAAGCAGGAATCATCAAAACTACTTAGTACTGGCTAAGAAATAGAATGGTGGATCAGTGAAATAGGTTAGGCACACAAGACAAAGTAGTCAATGATTATAGCAATCTACTTTTTCATAAACCCAAAGACT